CCTGGCCCCATCGAACAGCACCCCCAGGGCAAGCTGTTCCCACGGGGGCGGGGCCTCTGGCCACAGCAGAGGAAGAAGGATCCCAGCACTGCCTCCTCCCAGCCAGTCCCCGCTGCCCCTCCCCTGGGCACGGCCGCTGCCTGTTTCCCTTCAGAGAAGCTACGGGGCCGCCCCAGGAGGCGTGGTGCACAAGTGCACACAGCAGCCTGGGAGGCTCTTGCCATGCACAATTAAGCCTCGTGAGCACCTCCCCAGAGGAGATCCCGGGGAAACTGAGGCACCGCATGTGAGTAGCACCCAGGAGTCACAAGTTCTTGTTCCCCTGATCTAGGCAAACGCCCCTCCTTCTCCCAGAGAACCCAGGAGTCCTGACTCCCAGCCCTCCCCCTCCCATCACTAAACCCCCTGCCCTCCCAGAGCCAGGACGAGAACCCACTGTCCTGGCTCCCACCCCCGCTCTAACCACTAGACTCCACTCTTCTCGCAGGGCCAGGCACAGACACCAAGTGCCCCGGCTCCCAGCCCCTTCTCCTCCGAACACTAGTGTCTGTGCTTTGTGTGTCACGGACCCCGAAGGGAGCCACAAACGCTCTTACTCCCCAGCATTTCTCGCCTGCCTTGCACCCCCAGCACATGCCCCACGGAGCCCCTCGGCCCCGGGCTGGGAGGGCCCAGAGCAGAGGGAAGCATTTCGCACCACAGCGGATTGCTAGAGCTTGGGGCAGGACCCGGCTTTCTGCTGGTCTGTACAGCCCCTGACACAGCGCGGCACCGTAATACACCCAATACCACAGCCCCAGCACAAAGGCGGTCTGCTCCAGGCCGGGGGCTTGTGGGTGCTACCGTAAAACACCTAATACATAACGGGCAGTGCCTCCCTGGCCCATGGCAGGGGCTCACAGGCAAGCGGGAGAGCCCCTGTGCCACGTGATACTCCAAGGCCAGAGCAGGCCAGGACAAGAGCCCCAACAGGAGGGGGTCCCCCCGGCCCAGCTGTGTCCGTCTGGGGACCCCCTCTCCGCACAGCTGGCCAACGGCTGCCCCGTTAGCTCTGCTGTCTCCAGCATCTGTCCGGGTGAGCCGCGCACTGAGCACTAGGCCGCGCTCTCTTCCAGAGCTGGGAGCAGACCCAGGCTCCAGTGCCTGCCCCTCCAGCCGTTCCACTGGGCTCCCTCCCCCGAGCCCACCAGGCCAAAGGCAGTTTGGGAGAATCCCCCCGGCATGGAGCCCCTGGCCCTAGGCTAAGGCAGGAGGAAAGAGAGGAAGCTGCCCAGGGCCTGGCTCCCAGCAGGACAGCAGCAGAGAGCAGGTGTAGAAAGGCAGGGAGGGAGCCTTCGCCGTCCCTTCCTGGAGGGGCGGGGGGGGAGGATGGTCCCCAGTAGGGCAGGCTGGCAAGGGAGCCCTCGGGGGGGACAGGGCCAAAGCCAGGGGCAGAGGCGGGGAGAGAAGGCCC